CGGCGGCGATTTTCGCTGACCCAGGGCTGGAGTTGTGTGCATTGTGGGATGTGCACACGTGTGGCTGCCTGTCGCAAGTCGCATGTGCCTCATTGCCAGAAGTGGGACAGGTCCAAGCTTGTTGGCCAACGTGCGAGGTTGTGGGAGGCCTTCAAGGAGGCCAAGACCTTGGACCATGGAGTGGCGCCGGAGATGTTGCTCCAGATGTTCGTGAACGCCGATCTGGCTATGGGTGGTGACGGGCAACCTTCATGACGGTCTTTAGCACCATGAATGTTTGCAAGATGGCGGTGACGAAGGTTGCCGCGATCCATGATCACTTGGAGGCCTTTCCTTGCCAGGTCATGTGCCTCCAGGAGGTGGATATCAATTCGGCTAGCGTCCCTTCTTGGACGGAAGCCTGGCGTGCCCGAGGGTATTATGCATTTTTGGGTGTTGGCTCGGAGGGATTACATCGTACAGCGATCCTTTCGAAAGCTTCTGGTCTTCCTGTTCGACTACCGAATGTGGGGGATCAGTCCAGGTACAGTGCAGTTGCATTCGAGTTTCAGTTTGCAGTCGGTGTCCGCAAGGTGGTGGTTGTGAGCGTTTATGGCCACGCGGCGGATGGGGAGATGGCAGCCAGCTATGTGGAGGAGATCGTCACCGGTGTCCGTGCTCTGGGGCTCGAGTGGCTTGTGTTGGGGGATTACAATGTGGCGGCGGATGAGGGGCCCATGGCTCGTCGGCTTGCAGCTGGATTGGCTGAGCAGCTTGATTGGCCTTTCATGGCTGAGGGCCCTCTTCCGGGAACGGCCGGAGGACAGCGAAGGTTGGATTATGGGTTGTCCTCGGGGCAGCTGTTTCCTTCTGCTTTGAGTCATGCTGAGGGGATTGCGAATCACACTGCAGTGAGCTACGAGTTTGCATTTGACGATCCTGTGGGGTGCTCGGGTCCTTCGCGGGCCTCTCTCAGTACCTCCTCGGTGTCTGCATCTGCTTGGGATGACAGGTGGGATGCCTCACACTTTCAGGCCTTGCTGTTTGCTAGTGACCTCGATGGGGCTTGGCGGCTGCTCTCGGACACGGCCGAGGCTGTCTTGAGTGGTGGTGGCCATGGTGTTGTGGCTCGGTCTTCGGGGTGGTCGCCTCAGAAGGCCAAACCTCGTAGCAAGGCTTCGCGATGCTTTGAATCCTTGGAGCTCGTGCGATTGAGGCGCTTGTCCCGCCGTTTGACTCAGCTTGCGCGGCACCCTGAGGACACCAGGCTTCGTGACATCATTGGCAGAGCTGTGGCGGAGCTGCAGGGCTCCTTTTCTTGGCTGGGAGAGCTGCCTCACTTTACCATGGAACAGCATGCGGAGTGGGTCCAGACCCAAGTTGAGATCGTGGCCCAGGCTGAGCGGGATCGTGGTTTTGAGCGGTGGCACGCCTCCATGCA